GGACCTGGCTACCTCCGAGACCGCCTTCTGCCACAGATTCCCTCCCATAGACCGGTACGCTCCCACAGAGCGGGCCTCCTCAGGGTGCCGTCGGCCAAGCAATGTAGGCTGGCGACCCCCAGGGGGAGGGCCTTCTCTGTGGGTGCCCCCACCCTCTGGAACGAACTACCCCCCGAGATCCGGACGATTCCGGATCTCCTTACTTTCCGCCGCGCCCTCAAGACATGGCTTTTCCAGCAAGCGGGCCTGACCTAGGGAGGATTTTAGGTAGGGATGATTTTAAAAGTAATTTTAATCGGAAACACAGCTGGCAATATTTGGTTTTTAATTCGGTTTTTATTGGGGTTTATATTTTTTGTATTTCTGTATTTTTGTATTTTAGTGTATAGTATTTGTTTTTTAATATGCTGTGAACCGCCCTGAGTCCTACGGGAGAAGGGCGGTATACAAATTAAAATTAACATAACAAAATTAACATAACTCCCAGAATTCCTGAGCCAGCGTGGCTCAGCTTGGAAACCTCTCCCTTTCCCCTCAGCATGGCTGGCTCAGGAATTCTGGGAGTTGAAGTCCACGAGTCATGAAGGGGCCATAGTTTCCCCTATGCTGGCTCAGGAATTCTGGGAGTTGAAGTTCACGAGTCATAAAAGAGCCAAGGTTGCCTACCCCTGACTTAGGAGTAGAATTCAGCCCCAGTTTTTTTTTGGGGGGGGGGTTGCTAAGCGAGTCCTTGGTTAAGTGAATTTTGTTCCATTTTAAGACCTTTCTTGCCACACTTGTTAAGCTGCAGTTGTTGAATTAGTAACCCGGTCGTTGACTTTCTGCTTGTCAGAAAGTCGCAAAAGACGGTCACGTGACACCCCCCTCCCGTCCCTGGGGACACTACGACGGTCGTAAATGCGAGTCAGTTGCCAAGGGTCTGGATTTTGATCCCTTGACCCTGAGGTCAAGGCTGCAACGGTGGTCAGTGTGAAAAACGGTGACAAGTCACTTTTTTTCAGTGCCGTTGTAACTTTGAATGAACTGTTGTACACCAAGAACTACCGTACTAGGGAGGGAGGGAGGAAAAAGGGAGGGAAGCAAGAGAAAGGAGGGAGGGAGGGAAGGAGGAGGAGGAAGGAAAGCAGGAGGGAAGGAGGAGGAGAGACAGAAGAAGGAAGGAGGGAGGGATGGAAGAAAGAAAAAGGAAAGGAGGGAGGGAAGAAGGAAGGAAAGCAGGAGGGCCGAAGGAGGAGGGAGGGAGAGGAGGAAGGTGGGAGGGAGGGAAGAAGGAAGGAAGGGAAGAAGGAGGAGGGAGGGAAGAAAGGAGAGGGAGGGAGGGAGGGAAGAAGGAAGGAAGGCAGGAGGGAAGAAGGAGGAGGGAAGGAAGAAGAAGGGAGGGAGGGAAGAAAGAAAAAGGAAGGGAGGAAAGAAGGAAGGAAAGCAGGAGGGATGAAGGAGGAGGGAGGGAAAGGAGGAAGGTGGGAGGGAGGGAAGAGGGGAGGAGGGAGAGAGGGAAGAAGGAGGAAGGAAAGAAACCGGCCATAGCTAAATTTGGGGTTCCACCAAGTTTTTTCCACAGAGTTTAGGCCAAAGAGCCAAAAGTTCAAAGTAGCGTTGATAAATCCTTGAATTCCCGTAATGATCCCTCCTTCGGGCGCTGTTAAGCACATTACAGAGTCCGTGCTCAATTCCCGTGTCGGCCGCCCCGTGCCCTGGGTTCAGAACAGGTGAGGAGAGACTTAGAGCACAGGATTACCTCATAATGCTCAGGCTTTAACCAGCTGCAGTGGAGGCCTCTTCCTACAGAGTGAGATTTGCCCACACCTGCTCTGTATTTGCCTCCTTGCTGGCTAGGCACGCGACGAAAAACATACACAGCCAGTCCCCGACTTATAACCACAATGGAGCCCCCCCCCTTTTTTTTTTTTGTTTGTTTATGGCTTAGCAAAACAGTTGTTCAGTGAGGTTTGCCCCGCTTTATGACCTGGCTTGACCCTGGTGGTTACGTAAGCACTGCCGTTAAAGCTAGTAACCTGGTTGTTAAGTAAATGTGGCTTCTCCAATGCCTTGGTCTGCCAGAAGGTGGGAAAAGGTGATCACACGAACCGTCTTAAGTACAAGTCAGTTGCCAAGCGTCCGAGAATTCTGACCATGTGACCACGGAGATGCTGCAAGGGCTGTAAGTATGAAAAACGGTCAGGACTGCGTGCACAAGGGTTGAATTTCAACCCGCCAGTGGATCACAAATAAAGGTATCGGCGTTCCGGGCGTTCGACTCTGGAAGTTTTCATCTTAACCTTTCTGCAAGTTGCCCTCTGAATTACATGTAGGTGGTACCAAGTGGGTGAAGTTGGTGATGATGAGGTGACATCCTCCGTGCCAGAAAAGCAAGGGGCTTGCAGGGTGGAAGAGGAGGACTGGGGGGGGGTCCATGATGCTATCTAAGCTTGGTGGTGTTCACGCAGACGTTTCATGACCCAACTAGGTAACATCATCAGTGCTAGAAGGGAGAGGGGTTTGTGGGGAGGAGGAGGACTGTGGGGTCCTTGGTGCTCTCTGAGGTTGGTGGTTTTCTTGCAGACGTTTCATGACCCAACTAGGTAGCAACATCAATGCTGGAAGGGAGGAGGAGGAGGAGGAGAAGAGAAGGAGGACTGTGGGGTCCTTGATGCTCTCTGAGCTTGGTGGTTTTCTTGCAGACGTTTCATGACCCAACTAGAGGACCTCATCAGTGCTAGAAGGGAGGAGGACTGTGGGGACCTTGGTGCTCTCTGAGCTTGGTGGTTTTCTTGCAGACGTTTCATGTCCCAACTAGGTAGCAACATCAGTGCTGGAAGGGAGGAGGAGGAGAAGGAAGACTGTGGGGTCCTTGGTGCTCTCTGAGCTTGGTGGTTTTCCCGCAGACGTTTCACGACCCAGCTAGGTAACATCATCAGTGCAAATGAATATGTACAGAGTTTTTTTTTCTCTCTCTTTGTTCAGATGGAGATGACGCCCCAGCAGAGCACCCCAAGTTAGGCGTTTTCTGAATTTTTGACACCCAGATCCTAAATGTATATAATTGCCTAATTCAACCCCTTCTGCTACGTTTTCAGTCCTCCCCCGGGTGGCGTTCTGACCGCGATTCTCTCTTTTGCTCTTCCAGATTGTCCTGCATGCTGATCGCCTGTGGATTTATGGCGGGGGCTGGGCGCACTTTTGAGCACTGCCACGCACAACATCCTTCCCGTTGAAAAAGGACAGGGCCCTGCCCGAAGCCTGACCCGGAGCCCTCGGTCTTCACCATTCAGAGACCCCGTGGATGGCCGTCCAGGTCAACGGGAAGCTTCTACTGGCAGTCGCTCTACCCTGAGCTGCCCCGGGCCCCTCTCCTTGCCCCCAAATATTTTACATATCCAGATGGGGTAACGTGAAAGCCCAAGAGATACACCGGGCGCGTTCGCTGAATGCAGAGGCCTTTGTGAG